TGTTTTGGAAACTGCAAATTGTTTTCCAAACAGGCAAATACTGCTGTTGTTCCCTAGCTATGGAACTCAGGAAGTCCTCCACGCACAAGTAAGCCCTTTCCCTGGCTGGGAATGGACACACCATGGAGGTGGTGAGGGGTCTGGCCTGTTTTGAGGCCCCTGTTCCACCTGGTGATGTTAGAGGAACACGGGCAAGTATCTGTGTGGGGCACAGGCACTTCTGCTCTCAACTTTTGCTGGAGCTCACTAGCTGGGGAGGTCAGTAGGGGTCTCGGCCTTCTGGCTGCTTGCTCTGGGGGCAAGTGATAAAATTTGGCAAAGGAGGGTGAGGGGAGAAGGGAGAGGTAGAAACCACTACATCAAAGCCTGAGGCCAGAGCAGCGTCATTTGTTCAAGGAAATGTCATCTCAATTTGGTGCTTGTTAAGTTTCAGCTCCGATACAGCAGGAGTCCCCTTCTTTAGGAGAAAGCCGGGTTTCCACCTCACCAGTGTATGTGCGTCTGTGTCTGTGTGTGTATCTGTGTGTGCTTGTCGAGCACTAGCTGGAGCTATGGAGCTGCCCAAGTGCCATCACGGACCCTCCAGCTCTGATGGATCCCTGGGAGCTGAGGGGACATAGGACAGGAGTGAGGCAAGGGTGGGGGGTCTGTTGGGTTGTCAGCAGCCCCCTCCCATCTTCTTGTCCTCCCAGCTGTGACTGGGGACCAATACACCATGGCCCATTCCAAGTAGCCCCCAGGGGGCTCAGGTATGTGGCTACGGAGTCCATGGAGACCTGGGGGCTCCTCCATGGGGGCAGTGATGTGGGAGTGGGACTACAGTAGGTACCTGGCAAGGAGCCTCTGTCCAGAGGTACCCCTTGTTATCCCACCTTCTCTCCCCACCCCATATAGCCCAAGCCCTGAAGCTTAATATTGGGGAAATAGAGGCCCAGAGAGGAGAGGGGACTGGCCCAAGGTCATATGATAATAGGGATGGAACCTGGATCTCCTGTGTTTTGGCCCTGGGCTTATTCTCATGCCTGGGAAGATGGAGCTCTTGTTTGGGGACAACTATTATGAAGGATAGTGTGGAATCAGTTACCTGTGAGAAGGAGGCCAACTTGTAGCAATGCCTCGAGGGCTGGAGCAGTCACGATGGGCTCCCTGGAAGAGGAGTTAAAGTCAGGTTCACCAGAGTGGGTAGGTGAGGTACAGGCTGCCCTAGGACAGCAGGAGCAAGTTTGGCCAGGTCATTATGGCTCCTCAATTTTATCTTGTCCTCATGATGGGTTGTGAGGGTTTCTTCCCTTAATCCCCACTTGATAGATTAGTTCATTAAATCTACAAATATAAATATTATCCGAGTCAGTGCTGTATGCCAGGCCCTGGGCCCCAGTACTAGGCCCACAGTCTGATGAGGGAGGCAGCATGGTGCCAGCCTGGCTGACAGAACAGCCATGTGATCTAGGACTAGTTACTTCCCCTCTCTGGGCCTTAATTTCTCATTTAAAAAGTGGTGATAAAGTCCTTTCCTCCTAAAATTTATAAAGTGCTCCGAACAGAGCCAGGCATACTGACAATGCAATATCCATGTGTGTGTGTTTGTTTAAAGAGTTATCAGAGGAACAAGCTAACTGCGGGTTGTGAGCAAGTGCTGCACAGGAGGTAAAAAGGGCGATGACGTGGGAGCTTTCTGGGGAGCTGAGGTGCTTTCTGTCTTGATGGGGGTGTGAGTCCCAAGGATGTGTGCGGTTGTCAAAACTCATGGAATTTCACCCTCGAGACCTGTGCATTTTACTGTGTGTAAATTATACCTCAATAAAACAAAGCATATATGGAAAGACAAAAAAGAATGTAGAGAGAATGAAGGACCCTAGAAGTCCTTTTTAGACAATGTGGTCAGGGAGGTCTACTAAGAGGAGGTGACATTGAGGGCAGTCCTGGAGAAAGAGAAGGCTCTGGCTGTGGGGAAGAAAGATGAGGAAACTGAGACTCTTGGAGGTTGGGGCTATGTTCAAGGTCAACTTGAGGGATCAGGAGTGACAGCCTAGGGGATTTCATGGCAGCTGGGCCTGGGTGGGCCCAGGTTCAGGGTCTGGCCCCCGTGATCTGCCCTACAGATAGGCCAGTGGGAGCATTTACTATGTTTTCTGGGGACAGCCCTCTCCCCGCCCCATGCCTATTCTCAGGGCTTTGGCACTTAGAGAAGGACTATTTTAATCCGTGTGAAAAATGGGTTCCTAAATATGGGCTGAATGGGGCAGGAAGCCTCAAGAGGCTCCACCACAGCGCAGCTCCACCTGCTGTTCCACCTCAATAAAGCACGGGGTACAGGCCCAGGCTGCGAGGCTCTCTGGCCCCCCCTTGGCTATCCACTTCCCTCCTCCTCGCCCTCCCACACCTCCCGTGTCCTTCTAGCCCTGTGTCCATCTTCGCATCCTTTGTTTGCTCAGGAGCCCAATGTTTCCTGCCAGGCCCCAGCCAGGGACCTGACCCCCAGGTTAACCAGACTTGCCTGTGCCCTGAAGCTGGCCCCAGCCTGGTGGGAGGAACAGAGGCAAAAACATTGGGACATGTGCTGGGAGGACTGCAGAGGCAGAGACATCTGAATTGAGCCCAGAAGAGTCCTCAAAAAGAGGGAGTTGATCCAACAGAGAGGGAGATGGGGCAAGAATGCGTGTGGCAGGGACCAGCACAGGCATAGACACAGAGACTTGAGGGAGTAAGGCCTGTATGGGAGCAGCATGTGTATCATTCTGGCCAGAACAGAAAGTGTTTTTGGGCCACAGGTAGCAGGAAATGAGGTGGGAGAGGAAGGCAAGCCCTGGATGCAGGGGAGGAGGTGGTATTTATCCGGAGGACGTGGAGAAGCAGTCTGTGGCCACAAATGGAGAAGAGTCAGAAGGGCAGAGGCAGGGCTGAGGACCCCACCAACAGCATTCCAGCTGTGAGCTTGGAATTTGGGGTGAGATGCCACAAGGCGGGCAGAGTGAGGAGGGGGTCCAGGAGCCAGCCTGGGAGGCCTGCAGGGGGAGGCTAGGAGGAAAAGGAGGAGAGGGCACAGGGAGGCAGGAGGACTGGGATACCCTGGCTGGAACCACCTCAGGACATGGTGGAGGTGAGCTGGTGTAGTAAGTGGGGATGACTGAGCTCTCTGTGCCCAGTGCTGTGAGCAGGAAGCAGCTGCTCAGGGGCTTCGTGTGTTCCAGGAGGCAAGGACAGCATGAGCAGGGGATCCATGGTGTCCAGGTGGCTGCGTCTGCCCACAGCAGCCTCCACACATAACCCCAGCCTGGTCTGGGTTGTGGAGCAGGGACCCCAGAGCTAGTAAAGGGGCTTGTTCGGCCCCTGACTCTCTGTACTCCTTGCACTGCCTGTATTCCAGGTTAGGGTTGAGGGGAACAGCTCCAGAGTGGGAGGACCAGCCAAAGAACAGCTGATTCAAGAAACCGCTGCCTTCCTCTCCCCTCCCTGGGACACTGCCCCAGCCCAGTTTGCCTTTACCTAGAGAGCCTGGTCCCAGAGCCTGCCCCCACAGTGTCCTGGGTAAAGTGGTCTGACCCTCCCCATCCTGCAGAGGGCAGCCCAGGGTCCTGAGGGTACTGAACAGGGCAGGGCTTATCTGAGCCCTGGCCTTGGGCATCAGCCTTGGTCTCAGCCCTCGTCAGGAAACACCGGCTGGGCCTTAGGTGAGCAACCCTTTTGGCAGATGGCTTGTCCCTGCTCTCTCTATTCTGGGCCATCTCATTTCTGGTGATGGTTGGCAGCTGCAGCCCAGAGCTGAGTTAATCTGAGTAGGGATCCTGACACCTGCCCACTTAATGCTGCCTTGCTATGATGCACCCTGTGGGGATGACTCTATTATTATTTCATTTTACAGAGTTGTGGGCTGCGGCTTGGAGCTGTGAATGTTTGCCTGAGGTCACACCAAGTCATTGGAGTTCAATCCCCAACCCACATCTCACTCCATCCAGCTGTCACAACCCTCAAGTAGGGTCCTCCCTGCCCCCAGTCTGGGGTCCTCACCTGTGGTCTCTAAGCATGGGATGAGGGTAGAGGCTGGGCAGCCAAGTCACTTTGAGATGGTCCCATCTCTCTAGCAGTGGAATGGCACTGTCACCCTGGCCCTGTACAGCAGCTCCAGGGGAGGCTACAAAATTATCGTGGAAGCTGGGGCCTGACTGGGTGGTTATGACCAAGCAACTCATTTTAGAAGCACTTTTCTTGGTAGTGACACTTTTATTCCCTCATCCTGTCCTGGAGAATTTGAAGTCTTAATTACCTTTATTCCTGTAAAAGTGTGGCCTTGCCTCCCTCCACTCTGGGCTGGGTTTCCAGGTGACAGATGGACTGATGGACACAGGCCTCAACCCTTCCTGCAGGAAGCCTTCCCTCACGCTCTGGCACTCTCCTGGACACACTGAGGCCTGTAGGGCAGATGTGCATGTTAGTGTATCCTCTCCCCTCCCCAGCCTTTCCCCAGCACCCTCCACTTGTTTCACGTAGAGGTGCTAAATGAGGATCACAAAGGCCTACTGTGTGCCACATGCCACCCTGTACAATTTACATGCACAATTCCCAAACCTAGCCTGGGAAATGGAGCAACCATGTCATTCTCACTGTAAAAATGAGGTTCAAGGGATGTGTGGCCCCTGGCTTGGGGTCCCACATCTGATGTGTGATTTGACTATAAAACCCACTCAGTTCCCACTTTATTTGCTGCCCATGAGAAGGAAGGCAGGGGCTTTTCTGGCCTCTGAGACCTTACAAGCTGTCAGCTGCCTCCCAGGGACTCCCTGAGCTACCAGCCAAGCTGCTTGAGCCCAGGGCTGACCCTAAAGTCCAGAGGCTCATTGGACCACAAGTCAAGGAAACCTGGATTCAAATTCTCATTCTGCCCCTTATAAGCTATGTGACCTTGGGCAGGTCACAGGCCTCTCTGAGCTTATATGCCCTTGTCTGCAAAGTGAGGGCAGTGGGCTGTGAGGCTGACACTTTCTGTGTCCACCCACCCACAGCTCCTATATGACAGCCCCAAGGCCCGGCAGGAGGTGGACCACCACTGGCAGGCCTCTGGCGGCCCCCACATTGTACGCATCCTGGACGTATATGAGAACATGCATCATGGCAGGCGCTGTCTCCTCATCGTCATGGAATGGTATGCTGGCCCCATTGGCATCCCTGTGGCCTCCAGGCTCCCAGCCATTCTTCTAGGGACTTTCTCTGTTTTTCAGGTGGCAGCTCTGGTGCCATCCCAGCCCCTGAGGGGCAGCGGAGTGGGCAGCTGCAGGCGCTGCCCATGGAGCTGCGGAGCTGGCCACGAGGGCATTCCCTCAAGGGTGGGGAAGAAATTGGGGCTCTAATATGGCCTCACAGGGTATGATTTCCACTCTGTGAGAAGGGGTTGGAAGAGCTGTCAGAGAAAGCTTCCAAGCCCTGAATGTGGATGAGTGGGGGGATTTGGGGAAGAGCAGGACATACACAGTCCCCTCAGCTTTCTCCTTTGTACCCAGGTTTGTGCTCCCATGGTCTCACCAGGTGCTGGGTGATTGGGGCCTGGAACTCGGAGCCAGTGGCCTTCTGTATGCTGGGCTTCTCCCGCTAGCACTATGGCTCAGCCCCAGCCTTCTGGAGACCTTGGGCCCAACGTCTAGGCCCCCAGCTCCTCCCTGTCTGCCTTTCAAGTCCCTCCTCCCTCCACAGGTTAGCCAGCTCTTCAGATTTGGGGTTCACATCCTGGCTGTGCCACACACTACTTGTGTGACCAGGGGCAGCTGCTAGTCTCTCTGGATCTCTGTAACTCACATGTAAAATTGAAGGAAGATCTTTTTTTTTTTTTTTTTTTAAGACAGAGTCTCATTCTGTTGCCTGAGCTAGAGTGCCCTGGCATCAGCCTAGCTCACGGCAACCTCAAACTCCTGGGCTCAAGCAATCCTACTGCCTCAGCCTCCCAAGTAGCTGGGACTACAGGCATGTGCCACCACGCCTAGCTAATTTTTTCTATTTTTAGTTGCCTGGCTAATTTTTTTCTATTTTTAGTAGAGATGGGGTCTCATTCTTGCTCAGGCTGGTCTCGAACTCCTGACCTCAAGTGATCCTCCCACCTTGGCCTCCGAGAGTGCTAGGATTACAGGCGTGAGCCACCATGCCTGGCCTGGAGGAAGATCTTAATGTAGCATTTACGCTGTGCTTGACACTATCCTAAGTGTCCATGTGTATCGCATAGTCAATCTGCATGACCGTGAGGTCGGTGCTAGTAATATTATTCCCGTTTTGCAAAAGAGACAGCTGAGGCACAGAGAGGTGGAGGAACCAGCCCAGGACCACACAGCAGTGCTCATGCAGGGTGGAGCCCGGGACGTAGCACACAGTAGGTGCCCAGAGAACAGTGGTCATAGGATGCTGATTGACTTCTCATTCTACATTTGGGGGGACTGAGACTTGGATGGGGTTGGGGCTACCTGAGGCATTAAAGCTGGTCGGGCCAGTGCTGCTGGGAACACAGGGGCTTCCTGGCAGGGATCAAAACCCACCAACCTCCTCTAATTCTAAGAGTTCAGTTCAACCCACCCAAGTACAACCCACCATGCACAAAGTTCTACAAAGCATGGGGAGGCTGATAGTGGCTATTCACCAGGGCCTGAAGCTTAGGCCTAAGATTTGGGGCAGGTGCAGGATGATGCTTGATTTCTTCCCCCTCTGCTTACAGTCCCCTTCTCTTATAGCATGGAAGGTGGTGAGTTGTTCAGCAGGATTCAGGAGCGTGGCGACCAGGCTTTCACCGAGAGAGGTACATGCATGCAGCTGACCAGTGGTGGGGTTCAGGGTGAGAGGGATGGACCAGAATTGCTGTGTGATGCTGGGCAAGGCCCTATTCCTCTCTGTGCCTCAGTCTTCCCATCTGAACAAGAGAGGGTGGGACCCAGTGTCCATCCCCCCAAGGGGTTCTGTGAATCTGTGACACCTTGCTAGAGATGGACTCTCCATGGCTTTGGGATGGAGGCCTCAAAGCCTCTTGATGTTGACCAGCAGTTGAGATGGGGAGAGGTAGGACTGAGGAAAGAAGTTTAGGTGGGCTAGGGGCATCCTTGGAGGGGACTGGCATGTCTGGGATGGGGGTCCAGGTTGGAGGTCCTAGGTAGCAGGAATGCTGGCCCACTAGACTGTGCCAAGGAGGGATGATAGGGTGGATGCCCCCAGGTTGATTGACCTTTGACTGGCATCACTCACCCCTCTCCTCTCTGTGTGCAGAGGCTGCAGAGATCATGCGGGATATTGGCACTGCCATCCAGTTCCTGCATAGCCAGAATATCGCCCACCGAGATGTCAAGGTGAGGCTCCAGGACCCAGGTTGCGGCACCAGGGAAGAGGGTGCTGCCCCACTCCACAAGCCCTGATGGCTCCCAGCACCCACTGGATGGAGGCCAAGTTCCTTGGTCAGCATTCAAAGCCTCTGATGCCTGGCCCAAATTGCTCTCAGCCTCTTCTCCCCTGGTTTCAGCATATTTATTCTGTTCTTGCCAGATGGGTCTCCTGTTTCCTTCAAACACTGTGTAATCTTAATAGTAATAAGCTGACTGCCTACCTCTAGCCACATCTAGTTTAATCCTCACCTAGCCCTGTGAGATAGGTGCCATTACCCATTTTACAGATGAGGAAAATGAGGCTCAGAAAGAGATTAAGCGGCTTTTACAAGGCTGTGTAGTTGCTGCACTGGGATTCATTCATTCATCTGTTCACTTGTTCAGCAAGACATTTTGTGTACACACAATGTGCCAGGCCTCAGGCAGGAGCCTGATACTGTTAGGGCTTCTGCGAAGTCATAGCCGTAGTTTTGACAGATTAGTCCCTCTAATGCCAGCATTTTAAGGGAAAAAAGCCAGTTGCCGGGCACTGGAGGAAGGAATAGAGAAAGTTCCAGTTGCTGGAGCTGCTTGCCCTTCCAGTGGATGGTCTTGAGGCTGGACACTCAGCTCTCCAAATTTCCTGTTCTGGGAGGACTGAGTCTTAGGGGTCGTCGGGATCAGATGAAATGCAGACTAAGGCAGCTCTGCATACACGTGCATATGTACTTGAACACATAAACAGCATGTGGGAACCACCATCAGAGCAGAATCTGCTCCTCCTGGACCCCCTGCCCCAGGCCTGGAGCATTACCCCCCTTGTCTTATTTCCTGCTAAGACTGGGCAGAAGAGAGCTGAGGGGCCAGCTACTACATCAGGTCCATCTGGCTGAATATTCCCAAAGTGTATCCTTTGATTCTGGATATATGTGGAGCCACAACAAACATACCTTCTGATTCCTCGCTTTACTTTGGCTCTGGCTTCTTTTTTTCCCAAGGGGAGAAACACCTTCTGCAGAGTAGACTCCCTTGTGTAGATTAAACCTGCCCCTCAGTTTTTATCCTAATACAAGGTCAGATCATCTCAAACAGAACCTGAGAAATAGCTTCCACTGGCTTCAAACTGGAGCTCCATCCAACACCCTCTCCTACCCCAGCTCTGCTTGAGGGTCCCTCCTGCTTCTGTCCGTGGGTCTAGATCCTACCTATTAATTAAAAGCCAGTTCCAGGGCTGCTTCCTCTATGTAGACTTTCCCACTGCCCTCATCCGCCAGGCCTCTCTGTGCTTTAGCCAGGAAGAATTGCTTCTGTGCAGCCCTTGGGGTCTGAGCAGTCAGGGCCTTCTCCCCTGAACAACCTCAGGCAGGGCTGTCCCTCAGGCATCATTCTGGGCTGGGCATGGGACATGTGCTTGGCAACACTGGCTTGTAAGCAGTCTGCCTTCCCCCAGCGCCTTCATTCTGGCATTTCATGGCAGTGTCACCGACGCAGAATTAGAAGTTTCCATCCCTAGACTCTTGATGGCACTTGGTCATTCACAACCTTGGCTGAAGACCTGCCTCGCTTTCTCGTCTGTGAATAAAACTGTCACTTTGATCTTCTCTACATTTGGCACATATTGTTGATGGCCATGGCCCAGTCTTTTTATAAGATGGACCTGGCTCCTCCTGCATTGGGATGGAGTAGGGGAGTCTGGCTGAAGATCACCATGGGACTCTTCCTCAGCCTGGTCCCTAACTATAAACCAATGCATTCTCTTCCTGGTCCAGCCTGAAAACCTGCTCTACACGTCCAAGGAGAAAGATGCGGTACTTAAGCTCACTGACTTCGGTTTTGCCAAGGAGACCACTCAAAATGCCCTGCAGACACCCTGCTACACTCCCTATTATGTGGGTGAGTCCTTGGGACATGGCTTGTACCTCCCTACCCCAACTGTACACTGCTGTGGTGTGGGACAGCCAGTGGGTTGCAGAAACCAAAGGGTTAAAGCTCAGCGAGGAGGGAAGGGGAGAATTCTGTCTGCATGGAGGCGGGTGACGTGGGGGGCCGGAGGCTGCAAAAATATTCTCTCAAACTTCAGCTTCTGCTTTTGAAAATAGATCCAGGAAAATTCTGGCTGTGGCCTGTGAGCTGAATGACATCACAGTAGCTCTAAATATATATGTGATAAAAGGCTGCCATCAGCTCAGGACGGAGCCCAACCGCAGTTGTTTTTCTCCGGTTTTTCTCTTCCTGGGATTCATATTCAGAAAGTGGGCAGGCCTTTCCTCCTACATTAGAGGGACACAGGACACCAACCACCTGCTTTATGGGAGAGGGTTGCTTAGGCCAGGCCATGGATGGGGCCTGGAAGTGTGCAATACTCATGCTTCCTGGAAAAGCTCCCCGCTCCTCTGCAAGTGGGCAGCCCCTAGATCTGGAAAGGCCCCTTGCCAAAAGTCCCCAAACCTGAGTCTGGGGCAATGGCAGAGGACACTTCTCCCTTATGGGAGGTCTTCTGGGAGGGCTGCTGAATGGGTGGGGAGCCCCTTGAGACAGCTGAAATGGCACCCTGTTTACCAGGACATATTTTGCAGTATTTTAACTTAAAAATCTCTGGCCTACCCATCTCATTGCACAGACGGGAAGACCAAGGCCCCATGGCTTGGTAGCAAAGCTGACAGTGGAATGCAGAGCGCTTCCCCTGGCTCTTCCTTGCCTGTGACCTAGGCTGTGCATTCGGGGAGGCAAGGGACATAGGACACCTGGTAGGCTGAGGCCCTCTCACCTATGGCAGGACCCCATCAAGCTCTGGACTGGCCTTCTTCCCTTCTCTTCCCTCACCAAGGCTGACACTGGCAGAGGGGCTCAGGGCCCAAAGGAGCTAGGGGGCTGTCTGAAAGTGGTTTTTTTTTTCTGGGAGCTGTTTCTCTTCCCCCACCTTCACACACATGCTGCCTTCCCAGAAGGTGCTAGACACCAATCTGCTCTGCCCCACCTCCCAGCCCGGGCACCTGCTTCCCACCTAGCCCAGGCTTCAGGCTCCTGGCTGGGCTCCAAGACCTTTGGGGCTGAGAGCCCTCCTGTGCCCTCTACCCTGGCAGCCCCTGAGGTCCTGGGTCCAGAGAAGTATGACAAGTCATGTGACATGTGGTCCCTGGGTGTCATCATGTACATCCTGTGAGTACCATCCCCACTTTCTTCCTCCACATCCCTCCCCCACCCCTATTATATACCCTCAGTGCCACTTCCGCCTATATCTTGGTGAGGGGCTTGTGTGTGTCACTCCTCATGCAGGCTGCCCTTCCCTTTAGGTCATGGGATACTACTCCTTCAGGCTGCCTGAGGGTCTTCCCATGCCAAGGGCTGATGACATTCCTGGGATGTGCCCAGGAATCTGGAGGGCTGGTACTATTGTCATGGTGTCTGCTGCCTGTCTTCCCAGTCAGGGCCTTGGGGTAGAGAGTGGGTCTGCCCTGGCACTGCCCCTCACCCCATGCTGAATGACCTCCTCCCTCCCCCAGCCTATGTGGCTTCCCACCCTTCTACTCCAACACGGGCCAGGCCATCTCCCCAGGGATGAAGAGGAGGATACGCCTGGGCCAGTATGGCTTCCCCAATCCTGAGTGGTCAGAGGTCTCTGAAGATGGTGAGTGAACTTCTCTGCCCCAGCCTGCCCCACCTGGCCCCTGCAGCCTCCATTCTGGGAGATATCGCTTTGGTGTCAAATTGACCTGTGTTCAAATCTTGGCTGCCCCACTACACAGCTGTGTGACTCTAGGCAACCTGTGACTCGCCTAACCTTTTCGAGCGTCTGTTTCTACATCTGCCAAATGGGCTTAAAACTGGCTTCCTTGAAACTCCCTCTAATTCTTTTGTTCTCATTCATATTATCCCTTCTGGTGACCACAAACTAATCTGCCCTATATTATTAAATAGTTATCTATTGTTGCTTAACAAATTATTCTGAACACTTAGTGCCTTAAAACAAGGAAGTTATAGCTTACTGTTTCTATGGGTTAGGAATTTGGAAGCACATGCAGCCCTTTGCCCTGACAGAGCTTGTGGTCTGTGGGGAAAGGTTGGGGGACTGGCTCTGAGAAACCCTGCAACCTCACCTCTCCCCTCTCTTCCCTGGCCTCCCTAGCCAAGCAGCTGATCCGCCTCCTGCTGAAGACAGACCCCACGGAGAGACTGACTATCACACAGTTCATGAACCACCCCTGGATCAACGTGAGCACCTCCTCATCCTGCAGCAGGCAGGGTGTTGAGCTAGAGCAGGGTCACCAGACAGGAGGGTGGTCGCTCTGGAGAACCCAGTGTGGGGCTGGGATGGACCTGTGCGCACAGATGGCTAGTAGGGCCCTACTTACAACCTGGCTTTGCCATTGCTCCAGTCAGACTCCTTCACCTCTCAGTCTCAGTTTCCCCATCTAAGACTGGTAGAAGGGCATGGAGTTGCCAGGGGAGGGGAGCCAGTGCTGTTCAGTGCCTCCAGGTTCTAATCCATGGGCTTGGGGCTCTTGTTAGCAATCGACGGTGGTGCCACAGACCCCGCTCCACACAGCCCGAGTGCTGCAGGAGGACAAAGACCACTGGGATGAAGTCAAGGTGGGTAGGCTCTGCCTTAGTGTCCCTGCAGGTTCCAGGGTTTTAGAAAAATGGTCTACCAGAGTCTGGATCTTTGGCCCCTCCCTCATGCCTGGAATACAGGCTGTCTGTGACTGCCCCAATGGTCTAACTGTGGCACTCCAAGGATTGGTCCACACAACCCATTCAGGGTGACCCTCCTGGCTCATTTCCTCAGTGAAAGGGGCCTTTGGGCCAGGGGTTCAGTGAAAGGGCGATGGCCCAAGCTTTGGTCCTAACCTTTCTTATAACCAACAACATTTGGGAGGGTGGTCAGCCTGGTTTTAGACTCAGCAGAGGCCAGGTTTGAGCATATGGGGTAGCGGCTCAGAACTCTGGGGCACCCAGGGCACAGTTTCCAGGCCCCAGTGCCCTGGATATCCAGCGAGATGGCATTCTCTGCAGGCCTTGTGGTTCTGAGCAAGTGGAGTTGGTTCAGTTCCTTGTCCCACTTACCCTTGGTGTGGTCCCAGGGAGTCACTATCCTTTTGTGCCTTAGTGGATAAACTTAGTGTCTACCACAAAGGGCTATAGTGAGGGTTATGTGACACAAAGGGCTTGGCCCAGTGTTGGGTACACAGTAGGCACTGGGGCAGCACAAGGCGTCACTGCCATCACTGACTTTATTAAGGGGCTTCCAAGGCAAGAGGGTGATGACTCTTAAGGGCAGTACATCCTCACCTCTTAGTGCCTCCCATCGTGTCTGTCCCCAGGAGGAGATGACCAGTGCCTTGGCTACCATGCGGGTGGACTACGACCAGGTGAAGATCAAGGACCTGAAGACCTCTAACAACCGGCTCCTCAACAAGCGGAGAAAAAAGCAGGCAGGCAGCTCCTCGGCCTCACAGGGCTGCAATAACCAGTAGCTCATGGGGCCTTGGAGGAACCAGGCCTCTCAGCCTGGGTGACAGACTGGAGTGTGCTGAGGCCCTGGCCAGGAGGGCCCAGGGTCATTCTTACAACAAAAGGATTATTTTGTTGTGTTTTAATTTGTCACTTGAAACTTCAGGATGGAGAACCCTGACCCAAAACCTCCTTCAGAGCTCTGGCCCAGGCTCAGGCTGAGAGAGGGTCAGAGGTGAGGGGCTGAGGAGCCGCCTGCTGCAGCTGCAGCACCTCTTGCCAGGGTGGCCTGAGTGAGGCCTCAGCTCTGTCCTGCCCTGGGGCATGGCCTTAGCCTTCCAGGCCACTGGGAGTTGTGGCTGGGCTTCCCATCTTCCACGGAGACACCCCACTGTGGGGTGGGCAGATGGGCCTGGCCTTGAGAAAGGCATTGGGCCATCGGTTGCCATGGTGACCAGGGACAGTGCTGCTGTCTGTGACTGCAGAGTATGTGAGCAAGGGAGGGAGGAGGGGCAGTTGAGGGTCCATCTCTGCCTTCTTAGGGAGGCTGGTCTCTCTCACACTGGCTGCCCCTCTCAGGTTCACCCCTCTTTGGTCTCCCTGAGGCTGCAGGGTCCAGTCTGCCTGCCTCCCTGGGTGGTCCAGCTCTGCATTGCTGCTGTGCCAGTCCAGAGGGCACTCAGAGCTGTCCCCTGAGGGAGTGCCTGGGCCTAGCCATTCTGTCACTACCCCATACCCAAAGGGTGTTTTTTTTTTTTAATCTCAGCTGAAGGTGAGGGGTATTTTTAACCCTTTTCCACTTTGGAAAATGTCACTGTGACAAAAGCCAGTATACTTCCCTTACCCCCACCTGCTCACCAGATCTCAGGCAGGAAATCCCCTGTCTGTTGCTGGCAGGGGCTACCTGTCGGTGCGCTTTTGTGAAAGTGGATGGTTGGGGGTGGGGCCAAGAGGCTTCCCATTAACCAGGCGTCTCTTTCTATCCTCTGGGTCAGACTTGAGGTGGTAGGAGGCTACTGAGCAATGCCCATTAGAAGTCTGGTTCTGGCTCAGCTCGGGCCTGCCTCCGAGCAGAGAGGACCCCTTCCTGGCTGACCCAGGCTTACCCCGCCCCATGCTGCCCAGGGTAGCCTCAGGGTGCTGAGTGCCTGGTATGGGCTGACAAGTGCCTGACACCCAGCCTGGTTCCTGGCCCCTCTCTCACTGGCTGGGAAACCCTAAGCCACAGCAGATAGGACAACACTGCTGGGTTTTACATGCAGATATTAATAAACACCATTTTGGCATTTTCCCCTGGTTTCTGGATTTCTCTTTGTCTACATGGGTGGACAAAAGTGGAAGTGGCCCAAGGGCAGCTGCTCACGCCCACTAGTGATTTCCACCCTGACTGGAGAGGGTGCCCCAGGCCTGGTAAACATACCAGGCTGTCTCCCAGGCCACCGCGTCCTCACTAGGCATGGAAAGGTCAGAGATGTTGAGGGATGGCAGCTGCCACATGCCGCCAGCTCTGTGCTGCCCCTGTGCACTGTGTGTGTGACACCCACCCCCAGCCCCGTGTGTGCCAGTGTCTGCCCACAGCGGCCACCCCCAGCTGCGTGCCAGCCTGCTGAAGGGCGGGCAGAGTGCCTGCTGCAGCGCTGAGCTATTTTCAGAAGCTGCCAGATTTCATTTGGCAGTGAGAATATCGGGGAGGGGAGGGGCGGGGGTGGGTTGCTGGAAGACTGTCTTTTGACTACTCCAGTAACAGAGCACCTTCACCCCTCAGGAGCCTTGCAGGCAGCCTCAAGGGGGGCTCTAACTGTGGCATTTCTCTGTCCCCCCTCCTGTCTTGAAACCTCCCAGTTTTCCAAGATCTTATCTGGTGCTTCCTCCTCTTCCCGCCTTCCCTCAGGGCATGGGGGAGGGTGTGGAGATGTTAGAAGGCAGGGGACAGGCAAGCACTTCTGAGATGTTCTGCTGCTCCCCAGCCTGGTGACCTCGGACAAGTCCCTCGGCTTCCTTGGCCTCAGTGTCCTCAACCATGTATTGGAGATGACAGAGCCCACCTCGTAGAGTCGTCTGGGGACTTGGGTAGATGACATATGTGAAGCACTTAGTGGGGTGCCAGGTGCACAGCTCATGCCCAGCACCCATTAGCCACCCCGGCATCCTTAGCCATCAGAAAGGAGAGAAGTACCTAGAGTTGTGAGGAAATAGCAGTCCAGCCCCAAATCTACCTCAGACTGAGGTAGAGCGTGGCCAGATAAATTCTAGAGACCCCATGGAACCTGTGGTTCAGGCCAACTCCCTGAGTATACTCTCTAAGTCTGATGAAATGCTGGCGGGACGCAAAGGTAGATACAGTCCATCTAGTCACAAAGCTGCAGAGGTACAGATGGATGCCCTCACTTGGCTACTGAGCATCCACTGTGCCTGAGACCCTGTGCTGGGTGCAAAGAAGGCAGCAGTGAAAGCTTAAGACAGGGGTCTCACCTCCGAGTGTTTACATCTATGAGGGAGAGGACAAAACACAAACATGCATTGAATCACGGTCTTGATGTGGTCTATGAAGGAAGGATATGACTCCAGGAGAAGAGGGTGTCATGGGGCAGTTTAAGTGTAAGAGAGAACTTATGTACCCCAGTGGCTGGGAAGGGTGCCTGATAGGTTACCAGGTTGAAGGCAGAACTGCAGTGGCTGAGGCCTTGGGGACAAAGGGACTCTGTGCTCTAGGGCTCTGCTTGTCCCCCACCTCTGCCAGTCTATGCTTCTCCCTGGGGCTGGTCTTGATCCTCCACTTGCACCAGCCTTCTCCACAGGCAAGACCAGAGCCGCGAAGTCCTAGTCCGGGAGGTCATCTGCTCAGGTGTCTGTGTGCCAGTCTCGGGGAAGGATTCTTATTGGTCACATTTGGCCCTTTGTTGTTATGGGGTAGGGGATATGACCCCTCCTGTTATTTGGTGGTGAAGAGGGTGCAGCGGAAGCAGTTGGCAGAGGACAGGATGGAAGGATTTTCCCCTTATCTTCCACATCTGTTTGGCCACTTCCAAGAGCCCATGAGGAGCCTGACCCAAAGATAAGCCCTGTCCCGGCCCTGGCTCCCTAATCCTGGGCATCAGGTGTAGCTCTCACAAGCCAGGGCTGGGAGGCTAGAGGCCTGGCCAAGTCACACTGCGCTTGGGGCCTCAGTGTAGCTGTCTGTGAAATGGGAGCAAATCCCTGATAATCAGGTAGTATCAGGTGAACTAAGAAGCTGAGTGGCAACATGTTCACAACAGCTAATCCATATACGGACATTTGCATGGGCTCCAGGGTAGCTTCCCTGGGAGCTTTCAGTAAAGAATTCCATAAGAGATGTGTTCACGCATGTGCATATGTGAGTGTATGCGTGCATGTGTGTGTGTGTGAGACAGAGAGACATCTCTTCCCTGACCTAGCCAACAGCCCCTGACTCTGTCCTCCGAACCTGATGCTGGCTGGCTCCCAGCAGCCCGCCTCATTGCTATTCTACACCAGCCCCTCTCTGCCCTCGATTCAGCCCCTCCACTGCAGCATCAGAATTGAGCCTCAAAATGCAGCCTGCTACGGCCTCTGCGGGGGTCTCAATGCTTCCAGGCCTGCTTGAAACTCTCCTTGGCAGGCATGGGGTGGGGGAAGGGCAGGCCTTGTGTGGCTTGTCTCCAGGCCTGGCTGCCTTGGGCCAAGCCTTAGCGTCCCTAGTGGGTCCTCACAGTGCCTGCAAGCCTAGCAGGGTAAAATTCTTCCTTTTGTTCTGCTGGGCAGCCAGCACACTTACCTCTTAGAATCAAGACCAGCAGGCAGGAAGGGTCTAGGAAGCCCACCTCCCACCCTGTGAGTAGAATAGGGTGGGGTTGTCTAGAGCCAGGAGACCTGAGCTTTGATTTATGAGACCTTGGGCAAGGCCATTGTTATTTTTGAGGTTCCCCATTAGTAAAATGAGATGTTGATTAAACACAACCAGGTAATTCCAGCATCCCTGACAGACATGTTACCACCAGTTGGATTATGAGGAATGCTCTCTGGTCTCAGGTAGATCATGCACTTTGCTAGGCCTTAGTTTTCCTATCTGTTAAATAGGAATAACCCTCAGAAGGGTGGGATAGCACTGTGATGGCGAAGGAGAGAGGGGTGGTTGAGCCCAAAGGCCTTGGTCACCAACATAGCCCAAGTGTCTGCTAGGTAATGCGTCTGTCACCTGCCCAGCACTCCGCCAGTTCTGTGCCCTCCCTGCTTCCCCTGACTCGGAGAAACCAGTTCCCTGGGACTCAGAGGAGCTGGCTATAGGCAGGACAGGTTAATTGGGGTGTGGGGCCACCTGCTGGTCACCTGGGTAAGCATTCAGTGGACACCTACTGTGTGCCAGGACTCTGCTAGGGCTTTACATGGATCATCTCACTTAGTCCTCACATTCCCATCTTTACAGATGGAGAAACTGAGCCCCAGGCTCTTAGCCACTGCCCTCTGTGTCAGAGGAGGTCAGAGGAAGGAAATGCTATTTTTGGCTGTGGGCAATCACAGAAGGCCTCCCAGAGGTGGTGACAATGTGAACTCAACAGGAAAGCCAGATTTGGTTAGACAAAGATTTAGGGAAAGGGCATTTCAGCTGGCAGGTAAAAGGTGAGGCAAGACATTCTGCATGAAGAATGGAGAACAAGTCTGTTTGCTGGGTGAGAGGCAGCCATGGCAAGGGGGTCTCATTTCCTCATCCCACCTCCTGTAGGAAGTCAGAGTGGGGTGCTCAGGGGTGAGACAGTGGGCACCTGGTAACAGCTCCTCCTTCTTAGCACCCTCAACGTACTTTCATGTGTGGTGCATTTCCCTCTCCCCACGTCCCCCTCTGCCTCCCCTGAGGATATACCCAGCTTTTTGTCAGCCAGTTTATCAAATAATACATGCATCTTCTCTTAAAGCTGTAGCACTTCTAGTTGGCTCCAGAGCTGGCTGCCAGAGGTAGGGCCAGGTCTTTTCACGTTGGACTCCCTGGACCCCCAGGATTTGGTGGAGGAGTCCTAGCACTCCCCCACACCCCATTTCTACTTTCAACAGTGCTATTTTATATATTGGAGTTTCTCCTGAGATTTAATTTAAATAAGATTTTATATGCTTAAAAGTTTTATGTGCCAGGCATGGGAGGCCAAGGCAGGAGGATTTCTTGAGGCTAAGAGGCCAAGAGTTTGAGACCAGAATGGGCAACATAGTGAGACTATATCTTTACCAAAAAAAAAAAAAAAAAGAAAGAAAAGAAAATTAGCCAGGTGTGGTGGCATGCGCCTGTAGTCCTAGGTACTCAAGAAGCTGAGATGGGAGGGTCGCTTGAGCCCAGGAGTTCAAGGTTACAGTGAGCTACGATGATGTCACTGCACTCTAACCCAGGCAACAGAATGAAACCCTGTCTCTAAAAATAAATAAATAGATAGATAAATCTTTATGGAGCACTGAACTAGACATTAACAAAATTTATCTCGAATCCTTCAAAGTAGGCATTATGGCCCCCATTTTACAAATGGAAAACCAAGGCTCAGAGTAGCTAAGTGGCTCGCTAAGGTTCATGGCTGGTGAGAACAGGAGGCAGGGCTCTGACATGGCAAAATGACCTCAAGTTGTTCTTTCTCCCACTGTTCCTGCCCTCAGAGAGTCCAGACTTCATGAACACAGGCAGAGAACAGCTGCCTTCATTGTCTGGTGGACTGCAACCAGATATGACTGAGTGGTCACGGGTGTCTGGGGCAGGTATGCTTTCCCCTTTCTGGTGGGGAGTTTACTCTGGACAGAGAAAGGTGGGTCAAAGAGAGGTGGTGGGATGAGGAGGAGGCATCAGGGGAGGCCTCGGGTAGCCTGCTTTATCCTGCAAACCCTCTCTCTGCTGCAAGGACAGTGGATAAAGCAGATTACGCCCCCATTCTGATACCCAGCCTTGATCTGTGTTCACAGCAAGCCAGGGAGCAATCAACCCTCAGAGCTGGGAGAGATTCTCTGTGCAGCAATGAGGCAGGCCTCCATGTGTGGGGACCCTCCCCAGTCCAGCCTCCCTTCCAGGTGATAGGACACTGGACACATGGACTTTTGGGTCTGGATGGAGGGTCTCACAGCCCACCAAGAAAGGCCAGGTGAGTGAGGGGCTGGGCTGGGCTACTAAGCTCCAGTCTGGCCGGCTCCAGTTATGCCTTGGAGCCCAAGTTTTGAGCACCTAATGTGTGCTAGGCATGTCTTGCACATGACCTTGTTTACCTTTCTGTTCTTCCAATAGCCCTCCTAGACAGAGGTTATGCTCATCTTGCAGATGAAGTC